AGATCTGGAAACTAGCACAATATGATGTTATCAGTCAATTTAAAAGATAGTGTACTCACTACCCAATCAAACACAGTTTAGGTTGATTTAAAATCAAAAACAAAAAATATATATTGACACAATATGAATGTATATATAAAAAAACGTATGTGTCTTGTACTCTTAGTCTGTCGCAGTACAATAGTCGAACCTGTCTTTTAAAGAAAAAGCTTTCCCTGCTCGGTGCCGCACCAAACAGACAAAACTTTGAAGGCAGTAATTTTCTCAAGTGGGCGTCTATTGCACCCACCGAGTACTGTGTTACCTATCTGCCTTCGGACTGCCCGAGCTAGACCGACTAAAATCCTCAGGGCAGTCACTTTTCCCAAAAACGTCTTATGTTTCAATCCACACCAATGAATCACGCTCTTTTTAATTTAGACTTAGTGTCGCGAATATCCGAGTTCGGACCTGTTTTGTATTAGTCTGGTTCTTATTGAAAGGCAAGTTACCAGTGCAGTCACTGATACCTAGCCTGTGTGTTAATAACCTAATACCTCTCACTTTTTAGTCTTTCTTTCGTCTACCTAAGTCCTTAATAAAATAATACCCCTCCGGATTGGCACAAATAGGACCCTTCCGGATTGATAGAATCTAGACCCCTCCGGATTTGGACCCCTCTGAGTTGGTTACTATAAGACCCCTCCGGATTTGGACCCCTCTGAATTAGCAACTATAAGACCCCTCCGGATTCGGACCCCTCCGGTTTTGTGGAAAGTAAACCCCCCCGGATTCGTTCTCCGATGCAATTATGCTCTTTCAATTAACTGAGAAGGGTATTTACTACCTTCCTAGACCCTTCTGGATTGAAGTTAAGCCTCTTATTTGACAATTCACGCTAACGGTGAAGGGTCTAATTGCTGGCCTAACTTCGGCTCGATTAAGCTTTTGCTGTGCCCTTAGCCCTCCCTTTTGGTCTAGAATGGCCTAAAGTTACTTTATTCAACCGCTATTACCTTTTGGTAGGGGTCTAAGGGTTTTTCAGAAAAATTTATAAAACGTGAAGGGTGTACCCCTCCGGATTTGTGTAATTTGCTAAAACCAATCTCAAAAAAATTTTCTCGCTTACTTTTCCAAAAAAATTTCTGACCCTATCAGTAAGCTCAGCTAATTTCTGATCTATTGGTACCAAGATCAACTCAATATGCTCAGCAGTTCCAAAGTTATCAACTAAAACGTCTTTCTTGCAAACTCAAAAAATTTCTCGCTTATAGGCTCCACCCAACTTTTTCCGCAATTCTGGTCCTTTCGACCTAAAAATTATTGATCCGAGCTCAGAAGGCCTATACTCTTCTCGTTCAATGCAAAAGACCCGATCTAAAACGCTTTTGTAGAAAAATTTTGCGAAAAACTATGCTACCTGGACCCCTCCGGATTGATGAATCCACCAAATCAAACACGTTATGTTCGATTTCTCTGAAACCCGGAAGGCTTTCGGGTAGCGGGTTTCAAAACTCGTAGATTCACTAGTGGACGTTGTCCGAACAACTATTTTTACTGTCCTAATTTTCTGATTTTATAGTGTTTCTTACTATCAAAAAATGGGAAAATTTGGTTTTTGGTACCAAACTAGTTCCAACCACTTCCGAACTAAAGTTAACCGGTTCTACTTATTACAGTAGTGCAGTTACGATGTAACACACTAACTTAGGGCTTTTTTCCGTTTCAAAAAATATCGATATCTCAAAAATCGCGACTTGTGGGGGGATCAAAATATCGCTATTTTGACCCTAAAAACCGGCCTGTTTTCGTTGTTTTTCACTGAAAAACGATATAAGACTATTAATATAGGTTATATAAGTAATAATATTAATAAAACTATACCCCTCCGGGTTTGTTTATTATCCGAATTAAGGTGCTTAACTCGGATATTCGCAGTTCGGTGAAGGGTCACTACAGTGCAGCACTGTCGAGCCACCCACAGATTACTATCTTACTTTTTGTACCAAAAGGGATACAAAACTTGTTAACGATACCCAACAGTCGATTGTTGTTGTCGTTGAGCCCCTTCTTGTTGCTCCTTGTACTGCTTGCCGGATCGGTCTTCACCCAAGACCCTTCCGAATTGAGCGCAAATCAGCTGACCCTTCCGGATTGAGCGCAATTTATCATTAACGTGCTTAAATGCTCAAATAACCCTACAGTACAAGCCTCACAAACGGGCTACAAAACTGACCGTAACGATCCTGACTGATATAAATGCCTGTAACAACAATATATCTATCAACAACAAACGGGGGGGTTGGATCACATCTTGTCTGGGGTGATGATTTCTACTGATTTTTTACTTTTTTTACTGTTTTTGGTTTTTTCGGTTATTTTTTATGTTTTTTGTTTTTCTTGGGTACTATACTACTTTTTGTTTGGTTTTACTTATATCTTTAAGTGTTTTTGGTCACAAACCACTCAGGGGACGAGGGGACGGCCGATCCCCCCACCCTTCCTGGTTCGTGAATTTTCGGTCTTAACTAGGTTAAAAAACTATTCACGGCAATCCGGAAGGCCTCCGCGTTCCGAACTACCCTTCCGCCCCGGCGGTTTAGGCCTATTAAGGGCGTTATTGTGAGCATCCGCTCGGCGCGGAGTGCTCGTTAACGGTTCTGCCGGTCATGATGTTAAAAAGAATAACACCCAGGAGCGCCATAAAAACATGTATGTAACATTCGCCCGGAAGATACATATCGACGGATAACAAAACTAAGTCTTAAGACGACTGGCTAACGTCTAAACAGAGCTTTGCATGCTTTTCACCGTCTCTACCAAGCCAGTACTTTTCGGTGGTCTTTCTAACATCGGGTCGACAAAAACGTTACTGTTCTCCGGCTTCGACCAGAACGCTCAAATTAACTTAATTACATGCAAATAGTGAGCTCATGGCTGAGTCTCAGTATCCCCAGACCACGAGGTCACTCCTAAAAACAGGGCTACTATTTATTATATTACTATTGTTTTTGTTCAGTAGATAAAAATCATCATCTCCATCGAAGATGGATCAACCCTCTCCCCCAACTCCTAGCACCTCATCCTTGTCAAAACTAATCCAAATATCAGTTAAATTCAAGTCAGGACATGACAGGATGCTAAAAATTCATATAACAGGCTAAAAGTTTCAGTCCCGAAACCCTTCCGGATTTGTGAATCCACTGAATCAAGCTCCTTAAGTTTGATTTCACGATAACACGGAAGGCTGGTTTTCACCCTTCACCGTTGTTCGCAACGGCCTTGCAACTATTGTAGCAGCACAATAGTTGCAACTCGGAACGTCCTCTGCTATTTGTTGTCGTTTTCTTCAATTTCGATTTCTTCAATTTCGATAAAGTTGTTCTCGTCAGCGCAACTAATGTTGTTGTGTTTCTTCTCTCGTTTTTTGTTAAAATGGCCGTTTCAGCATTTCTCAGAAATGTGACGTCATCCTTCGAATTTTTGAAATTTTAAAATACTAGAATATTCTAGCCCTCACCGTTTGGCTAAACGTTCCAATAACGCCCTTAGTTCTTAAAAACCACCAACCCGGAAGGCTTACTGCTAAAATTCCGAATTCTGCAGAGATTGCATTTTGGCCATTCTGGTCGAATGTCACATTTGTTTTCAGATAATGAGAAGCTAGGAGTTGAGGCAAAGGGTTGATGCATCTCCGATGGAAATGATGATTTTTATCCAGTTATAAAAAAAACAAGAGTAATATAATAATTAAGTGGTAGCCCTGTTTTAAGGAGTGATCTCGAGGTCCGGGTATACTGAGACCCAGCCCTGAACTCACTATTTTTGCATGTAATCATGCTAATTTGCTCGGTTTGGCTGATATTCTCTAAGTTGTAATGACTTTGTCGACCCGATGTTAATGGACCACACATTGAACTGGCTTTGGTAAAGACGGTTGAAAACAGGTGAAGCTGTGTTTAGACATTAGCCAGTCATTCCATAACCTGGCTTTGTTTTCCGTCGGTTTGTACTTCCGGGCGAATGTTACAGAAACCGAAACAAGAAGGATTAAATAATTTGTTTTGATTTTAATGTACAGTTATCTGTTCATGTAAATTTTTCTCATAGCTTTTCGAAAAAGCTGTTGTAATTGGTACAGGTCTGTTATTTTTAGGATATCAAGTATCCCCTTTTTTATATATGGGAGTCACAATAGCATTTTTCTGATCATCAGGAAAAACCGAATCTAAGATTCATTGGTTCGAGACAAAGTTCAAGGGTAGCACAATGATTGATTTACGATATACTATGGCCCATGAGGGCACCTTGCCGGCCCCTAGTAGCTTATTGCCCTTCAGTCCTTTTTTGTATCGAAACATTCTTTTTGAAATATTGGACGAAAGTAAAACTCTGGTATATTGGTTACAAAAGTTGATACAGATGGTGAAGTTGATTTAGAACAAAACAAATTACCTAGATTTTGAAAAAAAAAATTAATTAATTAAAATGATCTGCAATGCCTTTTTTGTTGACAATGACATCTCCAAATGAGTTTTTCAAGGCAGTAACTGATGATACACTTTCTGAGCATCTCAATTTATTAATGAGGTTTACATCATTTAAACACGACTTAGTATAGTCGGCTTGTTTCGTTTTTACCGATCTTACGACAGTCTAAGAATTCTAAGAAATAATACGGAACCTTTACTCTTGGGTTTAGACAAATAAGTTTAGTATATATTTCTGGTTCGAGTAGAGAAATTCGAGCTGCGACGCAGTTACTTCTTAATCGGAACAATTTGCAGTATCAGTTCGGGCACATTTGAAGTCAGATACGACCAATTAAAAAGAACTATTGTTCTTCTAAAAACTGGAACGGAATTTTAATCTACCAGAATTTACCTTCATTACCTAAATTTGTAATTTAATTTTGCATATTCGAGCCTGAATTTCCTGAAATGTTTTTTTTTTGTGAAAAGCAGTTTCGCCTCTGCGTATATTAAAGAGAAATTTGTACACCACGATGTTTTTTCAGATGGTCTTTTGTTCTGATATTAAAAATGCAGAGAATGAGATCCGGAGAAGCACTGAATGCCGCAGTGCGATCCGTCAGTGTGAACATTCCATTAGAGATAGCCCTGAAAATTATTACATTCCTTTTGAAAGCAGTTTGTTTGAGATACGTGGCCACAGATGTGTTGGGAGTAGCGAATATTCGGCTTCTTCTTATGCAACAATCTATTGTTTTCCTTTCCAGAGAGCCTTTTCGAAGATCATGCATCGGAGCTGTAACAGTTTCGCTTCAGGACATAGTTAACATTGTCTGGTTTGTGCCGTTTGTAGGATTTTTATATTGCACAATTTTTTCCATTATATGGTGCTTCGCTTTATCGCAACCTGATTCGGAGTTATTCCCGAACTACAGGCAAGCTGTTCTGATTTATTCATTTTCAGCAATCCTGGAGCTTTTGGCTGAGCCGTGCTACATATTGTCACAAGTGAAGAGAGAAGTTACCCCGAATGTTGTTATAATTGGGGTTTCGACACTGAATAGTTGTCTGATTACTGCAGGTAAAAATACTCATACGGGTCAAACAATACTTAAAACGCGAGACAGGTAAGAATTCTTAAAGTGGTCCGTTTTGTTATTTAATAGACTATATGTTACCTTCTGAGACATACTCTGTCTCAATGCTCGTCTTTGCAAGCAACCGGGCCTTTTTCTTTTTTGATTTCCGAGAGGTGTTTCGAAAAAAATTGGACTGTTAATTGGAATGCTCTTGGTATACTGTTATTTTCTGGTTTTCTGGTTGTTTTCTAAAAGTCGTTCATTTCGCAATCATGACAGCAGTATTTAAAAACTGAAAATGAGCTGAAATATCGAATTATTACACATTTTAAGCATCGAAGCAAGATTTGACGAAAAAGCGCTACTACAAAGCATTTAATTTCAGGATTCAAATCTGTATTTGTTTTAAGCCCTGCTGATCAACGGGGGTTGGAGTGGTGGTGACTCTGATGGTGCCGAAGTGGGCAGGGGCGGGGAGGAGGGGGGTCTGTGGGCTTTGACAGTGGGCCAACTGTGTTTTTCCCTCTGCTACTGCTCACTATTCTACCTATACTTCGTCATGCACTCAGCACACTTGGGTAAGGCTTTTAGTTGGAAACAAATCTCTAGCTTATAGTGCAGCTATTTCTAACGTTTTTTTATTGCTCTCTCTCTCTTCGCTTTCTCTTACGTCAAATCAGCTATCGAAACCACACATCTATAGAAACCATAATAATGCCAAAGTCTGGTTGAAAATGGGCCCGAAAAAGCTCGATTTGTTTCTGAAGCTTATTGTGCTAAAAACAAAAACTAAAACGTTTTAATGAATCGTATCGTATCAGAACAGTACAACTACTTTCTGCCCAGAAACCAACATGGTTTTAGAAAACATGCATCGACGACAACAACAATGATTTCATTGCAACAACAAATAGCAACTTTTCAGAAGACCAAAGCCGACTCAGTGAGAATTTTATCTGTTGACCTAAGTAAAGCATTTGACAGGGTCCAACACCACATTTTCGTAGAAAAATTGAGCAAAGTCATCCCAGAAATAAACATTTTTTTATTATAAATTGGGTTTTTAGCTTAAAAAACCGATCAGTCTTCACCGAATGCAACAACCAAAGATCTCGAACAGTAAACATAAGTCAAGTTGTACCACAAGGCACAGTTTTAGGGCCAATCTTCTATAATATCGCTACGTTCAATTTCGACATGGAACCAGTCAATACTGCTCAAATGATCAAGTTTGCTGATGATTCCTACACGATCATACGAGTTTATGGATCGCTAGATGTTTCTAGAAACGCAATGCAGCATATCAAACAATAGTGTTGAAAAAACGATTTTCTTGTCAATGATAAGAATTCAATAGTTATGACAATACACAGCTCACCCTCTGTGCACGCCATTAGCGCACGAACTGAAAACTTAGTAAAGTCTCAATATCAAGTCATTTTCTAACTTTAAAAAACTGAAAACGCAAGGCAACTAACTTGGTTAAATTCAAATATCAAAATATCTTCAAATGAAAAGCTAAGTATTTCAAATGTCACCTTTTTTCTAAACGTTCTTTTTTCTTCTGTTTCACTAGTTAATTCATAATTGCCCCCTTCTAGATATCTTAACTTTTCAGTTCCCCTACTAAACTTAGTGTTGTTGCCAGGTACGTGCATAAAGACGGGGACACCCTCTCAATGTTTACCCCCAGTCTTAAATAGCGTTACCTTCGAATATAAATTCACATTCCAGCCCTGTATCAACAATTTGTGTAAAAACTTATGAAGTTCATGTTTTCTTTGTCAAGACTCAAAAGTTTTAGAATTAAACTATCAGAATTGGAACAAATTTATGAGTATCTAGTAGAGAGCCAAATAACTTATGCCCTGCGAGTTTGGGCTTGCGCAAACTACGCTAACATTCATTGACCGTGTCCAAGAAAAGGCAATGAAACTTGGTATCATTAGGAAATTTAATTTATCGATTCTTTTATTAAAAGATCGGATGCCTAGTTCATAAAGCACAGAAAACAACTTTCATATTTTACACCATCTCGTGCCTCAACGTGATGACTATTCCACAAGCCGTCTGAGAAATAAAACAGCACATGCACAATATCAAAAACTAGAAAAACAAATGAAAATTTTCCCGCAACGCGTCACTAGATGAAAACTTAACAAAATTTAATTTCGGTTAGTGTTATGTATTCATATGTATTTATAAGTTATATGTGATTAACATATACATTTGACATGAAACTTTTTAAACAGTTTTATGTTAAATGTAACGACGAACCATGTTTATAACTAAGGTAGCCTTTGTTTACGAAAGATGTTAGAACTTCGGTTGTATGAACAGATATCTTGCAACAATTCTGAACATAAAACATTGCTGCATACGATAATCCTTTTCATGTCCTTTAATAACATGATATTGAAAGATACGTTTTTGAACAATTTCCAACAAACTTTAATTGATCTTCTAACATTCTCCGTCAATAGGCCTGTCAAAATTTCTGGCGACCTCGGGTTGACTCCCAGTAGTTAAAAGAGATATTACCGGCCTAATTTTGTTCGTTGATCAACATGTCTTCGTCGCCTCCACGACACCGTCTTCCCTCTAACCGTTCAACTCCAACTACCACACCGTTCCAAGTATCACACCATTCCAAATACCAGACCCTTCAACAGCTGAAAGAGTCGGAATCACAGTATCTAGCATTTCTGAGTAAAGCGAAAAAAATCACCCTGGAGTGCCTGCTCCGTGAAACCCTATCTCAGCTCGTACAAGCAGAGGAAGTTAGTGCTGTCAAATCCCAAAAAGATTATGATTCATAATTATAAGTCTCCATTGACAACCTGAAGGAACATGTAACGACAACCAACAGCGAGTCCATAATGAGTACCCTAAGTATTATCACAGGAAATGTTATGAAACCTTAGACGAGTAGCACTGCCAAGATTGATGAAGCCTTGAAACAGATCATGAAACAAACAGAATTTTCTTAATTTCTTATTTAGAAGCCAGATCGAAACTTCCTTTGTCAGTGAAGAGCTGACGGCTTCCCAGCAGCTCTGCATGGAGCTACAGCGGTACCATCGTTAACCAAGAAATTTCAAAGGTCGAAGATTTTCTTGGTTTCCGCATGAAGCGACTTGGTAAATATGACGGAAATACAAACTGCCGTCGGACTATTCTTTCTGTAAAGCCAAAAAGCTGCGCGCCATGGCGGTTGTTGCCTTGAAAAATTTTGAGAAAACAACAGTATTTCTCGGCTAATCTTGCAGGAAGAGTTTTGCTTGGAACAAATTCTGGAAAAGACGAACTGCCCAACGGATTCATCCAACCCAGAATTCTGTTGAATGGAAGAAAATTATTCGACCACAACTTGCTGTCTGTTAAATTAAACACCTCCATCAGTATGTCAAAAAGACTTCGAGTGACTTTCAAATGCAATCGAGGCTTCGTATTTCAACCCGTATTGCTAGAAAATTACCATACTGACGGCACGCGTAGACTGAGCCAGCTCTGGACACGTTCGCGCTATAAGGACTCAAAAAGATCCCAAATATCCCCATGGATTTGGCCTGAAACTGCTCGCTGTATTAGGAAACTATGAACTCTAGAACGAATTTCGGAAAAACGGCTAGATACTCTGAAAATGTATGCCAAGGAATCACGTTGCAAAGTGTTCTGACTGAGCGTTCCGGCAGGCAGGAACAGAGACACTCAGGAAGTGTTCAGACATCTCAGTGTCTAGCAGCCATACTAAGAAACGGCCCTTTCTCCGCCAAAACCCCCAGTGAAAAATCTAACATGTGCAATACTGATTTCAAATCAGTTAAGAACTCATCAGTCAACCCGATAGTTCAATTCCCGATTCTCCTTTCTTCTACTCTTCCTTTGGAGATTTTGTCAGTCAGGAAAAGTCAGGTCAATTTTAAGTCAGCTAGATGTCGCTAAAGCCACGGACCAGATGGTGTTTTCCCATGTCTAATAAAGTTTACTAGTTCTTTTTTAATCCCAATCGCTTTCGCCTTTGTTCACAGACGCACAACAGAAAGCAAAACGTGAACTGTTCTGCATTGGTTCACGAAATCAAAACAGACAGTTTCGAGTTCCCGAAACTGTGGAAGTTGAGTCGCATTATTCCTCTTCAAAAGTAGTCCCAAGGAGGAAGGATGTAACTACCGACCGGAAGAGTTCCTTCCATGCTCCTCAGCTCTTTGTTTATCAATTCAGCTGTTGAAAAGTACGATCATGTGTAAGTCGCTGAATAAGCTATAGGAAAGTAAAGAGAAGAAATTGTTAGTTCATGCTCTTTATCCTAGGCGTCGAAAGCTTTCGACAATGTCAATCATTAGATTTTGCCCACTAAGCTCTACTTTTTGTGAGTGAATTGTTGGCTCCTGAGAGTAACCATGACTACCTGATTGACAGAAAGCAACATCTTCTTGTCGAGGATTGACCTGCCAGGATTTTTAGATGTAGTCCGCGCCGTAGTCTTTGTTTGCTGTTGATAGCATACTTGTTGCATTGGATTAACAGCTTGACGATGCTTTTCTATCTTAGAATCATTGGCTTTGAACGACAAATTGGTTTAACACCCATTTAAAACCAGGATTTTCAATTTCTACGATTTGTCACCAAAATATGACCTCTTATGCAAACCTGGACGGATCATAATATTTCACCAATTAATAAACCATTCCAAACTTCATACAGAATAGAGATAAACGTATACTCCTTGCTCCATTATAGTGCTCAACTCAAGTCATACAAAAGCGCCAACTGGCAAATTTTTCGTTAGGAATCTCTTTGCTGGTTCGCTTCCAGAGGCGACATGAGACGCATCGAACGCTGCTGAGCATGCTCACTAAGTGGATTGTGCCTTACATCCCAACTACAAAGATCGCCTTTTCAAGCTTAAATTTTTACTCATTCCTTTATATCTGTAAATGCTGGATTTTCTGACTTGACGAAAATATGCAAAGGCCGATGTGATCTTTCTGTTGATGACTTTCGAAGTTGACAAACGAATTGGCCAAAGAACTAGATGATTCCTGTTCCTATATTGCGATCTCTCAAGACTGAACTGTCATCAAGACATCTTGAGTTTTGCGATTTCTTCTGTCTATAGATATTACGACTCTAATTGGTCTCAAGCCCAGACTACTGGAAACCCCGTGGAGCAATTTCATCTCTTACTATAAAGAACTCATGATCTGCACTTGGCATTTGGGTTGCAGATGCAGTGTGTCTTACTAGACTCTTTTCGGGATCGAGCTCTCTTCATTTTTTTCTTGTTAAAATATTTTATGGTTTTTATTCTCCCGACTTTGAAAAAGTTATATATACATTTATGAGGGCCGTTTTCTTGTTCTAGATACCAATTTCGCGTGCTACATTGACAGCTTTGTCAGCCTAAGCTCAATTAGTAGAAAAAAATTCAATCTGCGGTCATTTTTCATTGATAATGAAAATTGAGCGTTAGCTGTGTTACAAAGCTGATATTTTTGAGTTCTCTCTATTCAAATTGCCATATCACCTGTGAAGTTTAATTTTTTTTCAGCCGGCGACCGGTCTATATGGTTGCTCAAAAAGTTAGTGATCTTTATTTACCTATAGAAATTTGAATAAGTTTAGATAACAATATGTGAAATTATGGTGTGACAGGTGAAAGTTCAGCAATAGAATGTCAGTCACTCTTCCCTCCTTTTTGTGTTTTTTTTTCTCTCGTTGAAAACCAAAACGCATATTGACTAGGAAATTTTGCCACGAACAATGTGTTGTTCCTTGCTGTTTTTCGAGCAGATCTACGCTAGAGCACTTTTTGTCCACTTATTGTTAGCCGCAGATAACTACGCCTTCAGCCTGGGTTTTGTCCGCAATTTGTTTTAGTTTCGGCTCGTTTTCGCAATCACCGCCATATTCGAACTGATATACTCTTGTTGCTTCGGTATTGCCGGCATGTTAGGTCTGATAAAGCTTGCCAAAATCATTACCATCACTGGGAAGAGCTTTCATTGAATTTCTATCGATTTATCACTCCAAAGCGCCTCCTGAGCTGTGCGGGGTTCATTACACAAATGTGCTTGCGAGTCAGTCAGTGCAGGTGCTTGCGAGTCAGTGCATAGTAGGAATCAGCTTTTTTCGAAGCTAACTTCCTAATAAATGTGCTCATTTGGTGGAACTTTTGTTGTTTTGTAGCATTGGATGTTTAATACCAATTGTATGCTTCTTTTTTTTGTGGCTATTGTTTTGAGATTGTCAAGTGACCGTGGCACAGATAAAATAACTGGAATCCTACTCTAGGTAACGGAGTTTTAATGCCGCGCTTAGCAATAGTTTTTTGTAGCAGTTTTGCCTCATAGCATTGGCAATATATTAGCATCTGTAGCTGCTTTTTTTGTTGCTAGTGTTAGTAAAGCTAATGTCATCGGAGCAGATGGGAGGACGTGAGACTCGTATATTCGAAAATGATATTATGCCAAAGTTTGTAATTTTTAAAATTTCCAACGAAATAAAATAATAGTCTTTTGACCCAATTTTCTAATCAGCCAGTTTTATTTAAGAAAAGAGTCGATTCATGAAGATTTTTGAAGTTCAAAGAGCTTCAACTTGATATTTATCTTCAAAAGTTGACAACTGTTTAAAAAAAGCCGGATCAGTTTTTCTCGTTTTTCTGCAGTTAATGGAAGCTTCATTTTGTCTAATAGCTGTTTTTTTAGCCAGTAAGATAACAAGCAATTATATTTTCTTCCAGTTTTCTTGAACTAGGTTTATTTTGGCCGGAGAAGTGTCACTCACTCATGAAATATCCGTAAATTCACGAAATGTCCTTAATTTCAATAGTTTTTTTTTGTTTTCATCGCTTAAATTCAACTGGTCGATAATCTGTTGAGTACGTTTCCCTTCTTGATAAGTTGTTTTATTTGGTGTTTTGTTTAGTTTTTGAATGTTGAAAAGTTTTCTATTTGAACTTAAATGTTCAGGGCTTTGTTCCAATTCGAGCATTCTTGTTAACTACTCGTAGACATTCGTAGACCGATTACATTTATGAGACATGGACAAATTAGTGTTCTTTTTGCAGTGAAAACCATAGCTCAACACGTTTCTTTGAAGATGGCTGCCTTCATTGTTTTCCTTAACTTTGTGGCTTAATTTGTTTACAATTTTTTTTAAATGGGTAACCTGACCCCGAATTTGGCGATGAAGTTGATCTGATTTTTTTAAAATTAGATTTAAGAGACATTAAGATAGCTCTGCATTTTCGAGTCTTTTTTCTTTCTAACCTGCCTTCTCGACTGGAAAATCATAACATTTCATTAGTTTCAGACGAATATAATATGTTCTAGCTAGTAATATATGAATGATCGTCATTGTTTTTGATCAGGTATGACAGTGGGAGACATTCTGCCGTCCTACACTGGCCCGCACACCCTGCACAAGGAGTTGTTCAACACCACCAGCCAGTTTCTGAGACAGAGTGTAGTGAAACAGTTGCTCACAGAGGGCGAGAAGTACACCATGACTGTCTTCTCAACTCTATCCTACTCCGAACAGGTTTTCGAATTTTACTTGTAGTTTTCGAATTTGTCACATACGCCCCCGCCCCCCTGCTACCCCTCCGCTGAAACCTGGTAAAGAATTTCCTCCTCTAAAAAGAATCAAAATTGAGCAGATTTTGTATCGATCGCGTAAAGGATTTCCCGTCTTTTGCAATAGGCGATGGGGATATTGTTAACAAGATCAATGTTTTTTTTTAAATTCCTGTTTGATTTATTAAACAGGTATTATGAAAACGTTTTTTTTTTTCCAGATGAGTTCTGGTTTTTTTTGATTTTTTTATTTTTATTTTTTGAGACGCTTTTTCGAAAAATTCGCTTTCTCAAAAAACTACCCGTCAGATTCTCATAAAAGTGGTACCAATGAATTCAGTAGCGTTTCACCTACCTGCCTGCATGAAATTTAGAGCAATTTTTACCCTACCCCACCCCCTACGGTCTTAGAAAAGCTTCACAACTCGGTACTTTTTTCACTTTTTGCCCATTTTTTCGGAAATTTTCGATTTCTTCAAAAACTACCCATCCAGATATGGGATTAAGGGTTTAATCGATAGACCAGGTTGTAGGAAACTCCCCTGCCCAAGCGGCTGGTCCTTAATTTGTCTCGGGGAAGAGCTGTACACTTAGGAAAAGTTTTTTTAAAAGTTTTTTGGCATTGGAACAAAGATTCAATATACTTATTGTGTGTATTTTTTAGACAATGGAATCCGCTATGCTTACGTTTTCTCGCTTTTGCTTGGTGCTATTGGCTTTGTGTTGAGTTTTTTTGTATGGTTCGAAGAAGTCCAACGAGAAGTTGCACGAGTTACGCTAGTTCTCTTTAATCAGGTCGGTTTGTTCCAGAACGTTTTTGTGATGTCAGTTATAGTCAACATATTATAGTCATATTTGCAATGCTTGGACAAAAGCGTTACCAATGAATGCATAAGCTTCTTTTTCACTTTTTTTGCGTAGGAAGGGCGCTATCGACTTGAGAAACCTGAAATTTTAAAACAATTTTAAAATAATCAATATTAAAATAATCAAACAGGTCTCTCCAGCTTTCAGCTGGGCCCCTAGTAAAACAAATCAGGGGAACTTGTATATACGAACTTTTAAATCGAATTTTGTCAATGTTTTAAATTCTTTGTTTTCCTGTTATGTGATTGAATCTAATTTAAATTCATGCGCCGAAGGAAAAGAAGCTAGGGAACATAGTGTTTTTTCCAGCCCATGAAAATTTGGTGAGAATGTTCATAAAAATATGATGAGAATGCTCATAAAAATATAATGTTCATGAAAGTATGATTAGAATGTTCATGGTAATATGGTGAGAAAGTTCATGAAATAATGATGAGAATGTTCATGAAAATATGGTGAAAAAAATGTTCATGAGAATGAAATACGAAAAATATGTTCATGAAAAAATGATGAAAATGTTCTTGAAAAAATAGTGAGAATGTTCATGAAAATATGGTGAAAAAAATGTTCATGAGATTGAAATACGAAAAATATGTTCATGAAAATAAGGTGAGAATTTTTCATGAAAAATGGCGAGAATGTTCATGAAAACGCTAAAGTATTTGTATACTCATAGGGAATGTACGACGTAGTGAACAACTTGGGCTCTCTGTGTGCGAGGATTGTGTTCAAGCCAGTTGAAGAGGGGGGCTACCTCTACTTCTCTCAGAGCATCAGTCGCAATCTGCCCCCCTCGGCCCAGACAGAGGGTACAGTGTCCGAGTGTCATCGGGTGCTCACTCTTATGCTACATTCAGTGGCACTCATTTCAAGTACAGCTTACACTGACATGTCCATATATTAAGGTGATCCGAAAAATTTAGTGTGATTGAGAAGCAGGGGATTTTTTTCTCCATCACAATTAGTTACTTTAAAAACCGAAGTCGAAGAGATCATTTCACGTACAGAAAATATTTCACTTAAAGAAGCCGAAACGATCTTTTCCTATATATGAACACATTAGACAAAAATAAAGCAGTAAAACCAGTCAAATAAAAATTAAGCAACTACACGACTGAGTTTCATCTAGCAACAACCTGAAAAGCAATTAAAATCTAAATCAAAACCTGGACAATAAGTAGAAGAATCAGCTATCTTTCTTAAATAATTTAATAATGTTTTAGTCAATTTTTTTTTTAGAAAACTGCAGAAAAATTCCAACAGGTAAAATATTTCTAGAAGAAATGAAGAATAAGATGACTAAAAAAGAGCATATTTAAATAAGTGGACATGACAGTAATGGGTTGTGATGTGCTGTAGTAACTGTGTGTACATTTGGATTCTCCTACTCCCGACTATTCTTATCTCTGTATGGTGGAGACACTCTGGCCAGTGAGGTAGATATTCGAATACTTGAGCAGGAGAATTGATTTTGTAAATCTCGGTGATCCTAAATATTGAGAATTTTGGATCGGTTTTGGCTCTTTTAGAACCCAACCCTCGAATAAACCTCATCGTTATGCTGTAACCAGTGGTTTTTACGCTAGCAAGCAGCTAGTGTTTTAGCACGAACCTTCTTTTTTTCTAACCTAACTCGCAAATAAAGTGATCAATTGTTTGGAACTTTCAATGTAGCATTGGAAATTGCATAGCATCTGTTCTCGGCTTTATTTATGGCTAGTGTCTGTGATGGACTAAGCGTCCGTGGCGGAGTGGTTAGCGCGTGGGATTCTAAATTTCTAGATCGTAGGCTCGAGTCCGAGAGGTCGCCGAATTTTAACTAATTTGAGGCTTATTTTTACCTTTTTTATTGCACTTTTTAGAAATCTAGAACTGCTTTTTGTCGTGTTCTCGCCAGTGTTTGCAAACCGCGGCTTCGCCTTTGTGTAAAAAGTGGGTTACAAAGTGTACTTTTTGTAGTAATTAGTCCGCATGTCAAGCTTTGCTGTTATCGAAAAAGCGTCATACCAGTAAAAATTCACTGTTAGGATGAAGAAAGGGCCTTGATTTCTTCAGATAACTTACTGCAAATCATTAAAAATACTTGAGGGATCCAGTCATCATTGTATTACTTGCATTTAGAGGTATCGAGGCTTATTAATGCATTTGAAACAAGAGTTGCCGGTTGCTGTGCAAGTGGCACAGAAAGTTCCAACCAAAGTATAATTTTTCAAATTATGATTATTTTTTGTGATTTGCGTCAGTTTTTGTGAACAGTGGGATGAAAAAAAGACGAAATATTGAGACTTAAGTGGAATAGGCATAATTGCGACTACATTTGTCAGTTACTGATTTTTTTTTCAAGTTTTTTGATTAAACTTAACTTTGTATTACCAAGGAAGCTCCAAGTTATGCATCGAAAAAGAAATAGCTTAAGCAAGATATTTCACTAGATCCATTCTGATGAATATTTTTGCGGGCAAAAAAGAAGAGAAAACAAAACTTCAGTGGTGGGGCCAATGTTACATTATTCTCATTAGGTGGGAGTGTGTCTTCTGAGAGTATACTGTATGTACTTGTTCTGTCTGGCTGTGAATGGAACTCTGGAATGTTTCACTGTGGCCTCTATGAGTGACTCCAACCTGGAGAAGTACACATTCCACATGGTGCTCATAAGGCAAGTTCCAAATCATGGTCCTAATTATTACCTCATACCAGCCCATACACTGCGCATCCACACTCATTGATGGAGACAAAATACACTTTTCCCACCTAAGGAGCGAAGTAATTTATTGAGCGTCTATCAATTCTAGTCATTAGAATTGATAGACGCTGAATACATTACTTCGCTCATTAGGTGGGAAAAGTGTATTTTGTTTCCATCACTGAGTGGATGTGCGGAATGGGTTGGAGCTTCGAAAGAAATGGGACCATTAAATTCAGTCCGTTGCCGACCAATAATTTCAATCCTGTATATCTCCTTAATGATCGATGGTGATTTCAATAGGAGATGGCAGAGTCTCTTGATAGCCACCTTCAATATCTCACAGCTGTCATTATGGACATCATCATAAAGAGAAAAAATGCCTAAATTTAAACACTTTCTGACATTTTCCTACTGCTTATTTTCTCAAATCAAGCAAATGAAATCCGATTTTGCTAATTCAAATCTAAAATAGATTTATAATATCCTGAACATCTCTTCAATAACATGAAATGAATCGGTGAAATTTATTTAAAAAATATCTGTTTAGATTGAAAAAACGTAATTATTTAGTTGTTACAGAACTCAATGAAACCTATTATTTGGATATTGTGTTTCTCGGATTTTTTTCAGACAGCTAGAAAGTTTTTGTGTAATAAATGTTGGGACTAATTTTAACTGCTGTGTTTAAAAATTCGAACCCTTTTGGCTATGTTTTAGCGTGCTGTTCCTTTTATGTTCCTATATTCTATCTCATTACGTGGGTGCGGTTGGATTTCTTCTGGCTAATTGTGTGAACATGTGCTGCAGAATAGCTTTCTGCTCCTCTCACATCAACACCTACTTCGCACAGGCTCAGTTAGAGAATAATGAAGATCACCAACACAGATCTTGCGGAGGGTTGGCACACATATAAATACAAAACAATTTTAATACTGATTAAATTAAAAAATAAATACAAAACAATTTTAATACTGATTTAATTTTAAAAAGAAATTTTCAAAATGCGTATGAATTTAAACTGATTGTCGTGCCAATCCTGATCCAGTCCAACTAATAACGATGACATGGGTCCAGTGAACCCTATCTGGAAAGTGTGGAAGGCGCTGATTCCGGTCCGACTGACAAGTATACTGCTGCTCGTTTTTGGACTAGCTTGTGCGTTATCCGAACAACTGCTTTGTTGTAAAACAAGTCTAATGTTCAATGCTATCCACTTCGGATTAGGAGGCGTCGGATTTCTATTAGTGGTGCTCTCAGTATTCCTGTTTGATGGATATTTCGACCTAATTCTTCAAGACAGATTTCCCAAACTGCAAAAAGTCAAACTGAAACTGACTTAATTTTTCAATATAATGTGCATCTTATTTATTTTAACAAGATGTTTGCCAAACGATTGGGTAACTAATTTATGTAAATTTGATTTTTGTAATATATCAGGTGAAAATTAATCTAGATTGTTAATTGATAATAATTCTGGTTGTTGACCCACAAAGGCTGTTGAGCTTGTCTAAGGATAGGCCGTTTTTGTATTATTCTCCTTTTTCAAGACTGAGTTAGTTTTTGAGGCGTGATTTTTGCGTTCAAAACTTTGACATAGTACCGCTATTGTAGTCGATACCAGTCAATCAGGTAGACTTGAAGTTGGAGATCAATTGAGATCTCCCGAAATTGCGTTCTCGAAGTGAACGCCTAATTACTATGCTAAGTGCCTCCAACTTACTCCCTGCTTAATTAAAGCGTTAGAAAAGTGTTCAATTAAGAGTATTGAACGTAGTGAGTGTTTAAAAGGGTTTACATGTCATTTTGCCCCAAGTCAACTTGTCCCAGCCCAATTTGTCCGATTCCAACTTGCCCCAGATGACAACTTGTCCTATGCCATCTTGTCCCATATAATAAAAAATGAAACTTGCCCCAGATTCTTTGATATCCTCGTAGAACATAATGTCGGCATAAAGATGAAAGACTTGTTTGTGAACAATTAAGCTTGAAACAAAATGCGGAATCTGAAAGTATGAGGCAAGTTCGTCAATTTTATCTGACAGGCTTTGCTCAAGATCTAATCTGTCCACCACATGCTCAATCTCCTCAATGACGCTCTCGAACGATTGTTCCACTAAATCAGTTGGAACAAAACTGAGAGCGGGTATTAAACGCAGTGCCAAGCTTAGCTCGCAGTTGTTTTCATAGGCTTTCTTTAGGCCTAGCTCGTTAATTTTGCGTAAAAAGGCCTGGCAGAGGTGAAAGTAACAGCCTTTGATTGAAGACTCTGGAAACGCACTTGTAAAAGCGTTTACGGCAGCTCGTTCGAAATCTAGAAGGATCCTCGATGGTTGCGCGTTATCAGAGACAGAGGTGATGGCTTTCAGGAATTTTGAGTACGTTTGTTCGGTTTTGTTTGGCAGTAGAGCATAAAGGCATGGCGGGTAAAATCTACCGATTTGAATATGAATGGTATAAAGCTGGTAAAATTGCATTGGGCAAATTTTGAATGTACCGTCGCAAAGCCAAAGAGAATTGTGAACTTGGAGGGCATGAACATTATCTCGATCACCGAAAATCAAAATTCGCTCTGGATCCATAACACCACTGTCGAATAAACAGAAATCAGAATATTCCGTCGGAATTATGAAGTGCCTGTCTTTAATGATTGGCAAGGACGGGACCAAGTTCTGTTTCTGGCGGTTAAGAGTTCTGTTTATTGCTGCACGACTGGGCAAGGATAAATGAACAGCTTTCTCATCAGTTACTTCCTGGAGACAAGTGGCAATTATACTACTATTAACAGGTACAATTTGCTGCCTGGCCTCTTTTTTCATTTGATGCATGATCTGGTTTGCCTCAATTTTCCCAGGTCTAACATCGTGGCTGTGCTCATTTTTTGTTGAGACGAGTTCATCTCCTGCTGTGACGGCGAGCATGCGGCATTTGTGTGAACTGTATCTTGCGCATCTCCAGTGCTCAGTAGTTTTTGTCGTCTGCTTTTTTGTGAAATCGTGTCCGTCAATAATTAGCGTTCGTTTGTTTCGTTGAGATATTCCCCACGTAAGTTGACTCATAGTATTTATGTTGAAGTATTTATGTGGATGTTTAAGAACGAAATGAAATGGTAAACAATGAAGCAAAATGAAAGAATAGCCGTGTTTCATTTTGTTTCAAAGGCGCTAATTGTGGATTATTGTCAAAGTTTGGCGTGTAATTACCAAAAATTATGCTTTTTTAGGGTCAGCTTCGAATATTTTCAATTAGTCTTTTGTTATCTCGAAACGAGTCCAGTGTACATTAGCACTTGCTGGTCCTCAATTTGAACATCAATGAATCAAGTAAAAGTGTTAAGTATGGGATAAAACGGCATAGGACAAAATGTCATGTGGGGCAAGTTGGCATAGGACAAGTTGCCATGTAGGGCAAGTTAGTATAGGACAAGATGGCATAGGGCCAATTGACTAGGGTTACATGTCATTTTGCCCCAAGTCAACTTGTCCCAGCCCAATTTGTCCGATTCCAACTTGCCCCAGATGACAACTTGTCCTATGCCATCTTGTCCCATATAATAAAAAATGAAACGGCATAGGACAAAATGTCATGTGGGGCAAGTTGGCATAGGACAAGTTGCCATGTAGGGCAAGTTAGTATAGGACAAGATGGCATAGGGCCAATTGACTTGGGGCAAATAGTCCTGACACCGTTTAAAAGAGAGGCAAACTCCACTATCGAACCGCAAAAGTGTAAAGGTCACAAAAAACGTGATCGACTTCTAATTTCACAAATGGAAATTAATTATCAAATTTCCCAGCGAAATGAAAGTTTTACCCATTGATCCAGTTTTCTCAAATTGGGTTAATTTTAACATAAACTGTCCATCATAAATTGTTCTATTAATTGAAAGAGCTTTAAGGCCTTCTTTTTTTTCTTCCAAATTTAAAAGTTGAAGAATTTTGAAAAAATAAGTCGGTTTTTTTTTTCAGTTTCCATGCGTTTATTACTCTTTTCATATTTTCAGTTGGCTATATTCAACCTTTTTTTCGGCATCCTTGTTCTACGTTTCTCCAAACTTCTGTTGGCTATGTGTTTGGAACAAGTATTAAATTTTCCAAATGTATTCAATGTCCTCATTTTTTCTTATCAGACGTTCGTTCATTCGTACAGGTTTCTCTTTTTTTCATTATAAAGTTGATCTCTCTTTAACTCCACCTCTTCCAAGTTGATCGCTTCAATAATTCTAAGTCTGTTGTGACTACAGAAGTAAGAGTAGGACTAGTATCGGTATTATACAACGCAGCTGTCCGATTCTAGTAGGACGAAAATAGATTGTGTGCCTGAAACAAACACTGAAGCTACTTTGAAATTGTTGTCTGGATCGATTTCCAAGATGCAGGAATATAAGTGGAATTTTGTAGTACCACTAGCGTAAATGTATTTTTTTTCTGGCCTAATTCTCTAATGAAAGTTTTGGTCATGTGGCACTTGGTTGCATAGCATTGGCAAATATATAGCATATGATGCAGTTACTTTGTTGGTGAATATTGCTTGTAGATAGACAAGTGACCATGAAGCAGATGGGATGATTTTTCTATTCTCCAAGTCACAGATTGATGATTCTCCAAGTCACAGATTCAAATTTCTTAGCGTCTCTGGTACACTTAGTCTAGAGGTAACGAATACGCCCGGTATGCGAAAGGTCCGTGTTCGAATCTGACCACGACCGATCATTTTTTGAAACGAAACATTCCGTTTCAAAACATGTCGGCCTATTACTTGTTTGCTTATTTTGCCGGCTTAGGTGCGCCATCTTAGTTCTTTTAGTGTACGCAGTTTGCATTTTAAAGTTTCGTAATGTTTTGATTTACTGCTGCACAGTTTAATTTTACTAATTTTTTTTATGTATATTTTCCATTATTTGTTTTTTTGTGTGTAAAAAATTTAATCGGCCCAAAAAGTTTCGGCCGACAGGTTAGCGGTGCTGGTTCGTTTCGAAAGAAATTTAGTTTATACTCTTCTCTTTCCGTTTTTTGAGGAAGTTTACCCAAGTTATGTCGGCTCAGTTGCCGCCTAATAATTGTTTTTGACCTTTCTTTAAACGCCAGCGATTGTATTTCGTGACGTTTTTCTTCAGATAGAACATCATTTTGATATTCTCTTTTTCTATTTTTTGTTCGACTTAATGGCTCTACTTTGCTTTCCAGTCTTCTTGCTTCAATGATATTTTAAGATGGTATTGCATCCTTTGCCATACCGGGCGTATTCGTTACCTCCAGACTAAGTGTACCACCTCCGCTTCGCTTCTGTGCTCAACTTACCTATACCATTTTCTTTTTTTTTAATCGTTTGTGTTTGCGAAGTATAGCTTTGCCTCGGTGCATAAACTGACAAGCAATGTTTTTCCTTTTTCAAATTTGATCGAAGCAATTTTTTGGTGTAAGAATGTACCAGAAAAGAAACTCATGATGTAGTGGTGCTGATTTTACGGTATTTTCCCCTCAAGCCGACCCCCACCGTGATGACGTTACAAACAGTAGGTAAGCAAGCCAAAGAGTTTCACGTGTGTGTTTTAGGGGTCTATAACATGGTAGATTTGCTAAATGGTACAACTGTTGCACATACTTAACTGTTGACTAAATCTTGGGGCAGATATGATGAAATTACTCGGTAAAAGCTTTCGTTGGAAGAAATAGTAAAAGAAAAAGAATAGGAAGCGGTCATAATTCTTGTCAAATTAGAGCAACTAAGTCAAGATTGTTCATATCAGGAGAAAGCCCGTATTGTTTCGACTGCTTTTTAAAAGTCTATGGAGTAAGGTTTGCTTAAAGAAATTAATGAAAATTTCAAAAAAAAATGAAAATAATTGCGTTTTTTCAAATATAACCCCCCACTAGCTATGTTAAGCGTAAATTGTATACTTCGCTTATAGATAAAGTTTAAATGGCATGCCTCAGTTCATTTTGGATCAATTTTTAAGAGGGATTGAATCTCCTCACGCGTTTTTAGGGCGAAATTGTCCCAAATTGGCAATCTTTGTCTGAATTCATTTTGGATCAATTTTTAAGAGGGATTGAATCTCCTCACGCGGTTTTAGGGCGAAATTGTCCCAAATTGGCAATCTGTAAACCCTCATAATTTTACAAAAAGTTATCACCAGCAAAGTTGTTTTTTCAATTTGATCTCAAGACTACTCAGCACATTTACTCTGATATTTTCTTTGAAAGTCGGAACAATTATCATTCGACAGCAAATGGAGCCGCTTTCTTACCCGCTATCATTGCCATTGCAAGAATCTAATATTTTTTATTTTTAAAAACACTAACAATTTTGGGAAAACGTTCTTAGTTTGGTTGCTAATTTTTTTTGCGTACGTTTGAGTTTAATCATGCAATTGTTTTAGTTATTACCCTTGCAATTAGCAAGGGTCTTGCACTCTGGTACTAGACTTTTTCCAGTAAATAAGTTTGTTCACATGACTCATCTCCTGGACCCATTAATCTCCTGT